ACGTCGTTGCATTGTCTTCATATGTCCACTTCTTCCACCACATATCAAGTATGCCACTCTCTTCAAGCTGGTACATTCTGAAACAAAGAAATGTTATGCAGGTTTTAACTCACTCTAAATACAGTGCCATCATAAATGAAACTCTCGTTAATATGAATTATACAGTGACGTGAGGCAGCCGATCAAATTGCGGAATCATATTCTACTTTTCCTGACATTCATCTTCTGAAAGCCATGTTTCCGGGGTAGCAGAGTCTTGACTAACGCGTTTTCATTCTATGATGTTTTCGTCAAACCTAACAAGACGTTGCCAAAGCCTCTTTTATACTGCTTTTGTTTATAACTGATAATAAACGTGAAAACATAAGGTTATAGAACAGAAAACCAGAGAGTGATATATCCTACATTGTGTCCAAGTCGTCTTTTAATGGGTGTCCTTTCGGTAATCCAAATGATATCCATTCTTTGGCCCAAAGCACTTTTTCTCCAATGCTTGCAAGGTTGCAGTCATCAGCAATGTATCTTTGTGCAGATGACGCATACAACATGAACGCGTGGGTTCCCGCTTTAACTCTCTTCATATGGTTTTCGTCATCGTTAAGAAAAATCCCAGGGTCAGTCTGGCTTAGTGCAGTCATTTTGGCATATAGTCGACGGATATCTGACTGCTGTGACGTCTAAAGCGATAAGAAAAACATGTTATGGGAGCAGTCTAAATCATAAACAATTCCAGTCATGATTGTAATTTTGAGTGAGTGAGTGAGTGAGTTATATTTAAAGTCACATCGGCAATATTGCAGCCATATCGTGACTATCAAGGTTTTTATGTTTATAAATACAATTATACTTATATAAAAACCTGCCAAAGAAGGACAGTAAAAAGTACTAGACTTATCACAGAAAAGGATTTTAAAACTAGTATGGGATCATAAAAAAGATAACACTTTTACATAACAATAACATGATAAAAACGGGCTATAGATCGCCAGCCCCTGAAGGGAGATCACCATACTGGGGACCATGGGGACTTACAGTACCTTAGCTACCTGCATGGGTCCCAGCAGGATTTACATCATCCCTTCAAGTGGTGGCGATTATTGGCAGAGTTAGCCTTACATCTTAAAATGACACATATTCTACGATTAAAAACACGGTAGTTCTAAATTTACCTTGAAAGAAGTGGAACTTATGTACCCTCTCAGGAGGACAATAATTTTACAGTACTTTAACCCCCCTCGAGGATACAGCCACGAACATTCTCAGTTGCTAATTTAATCTACCGATCATAAAATATTTATATTTCACAAAACACAATCAAAATTTTGCACACAACTCTATTTCTTTTAAAAAACCAATGATTAAACGAGAATCAATACTGCTAAAAAGATCCTTAATAGATGACGAATTGAAATATTTATCCCTTGTGATGGAAAAATCAATGCAGTCAAGCAGGACATGCTTGACCGTGATTCTTTCATCACAAGGGATACAAAACGGAGGATCCTCACCTTTTAATAAATATTCATTTGTGTATCTGCTGTGGCCAATACGACATCGTCGCATAATGACCTCTTCAAATCTGGACTGACAGCCCAAGTAGGTGTAACCGATATTTGGATTAATTTCATGTAATTTATTGATACCTACTTGGGTGTCCCACTTCTTTTGCATCAGATCACGAATGTAAGATCTAATTGCAGTTTTATAATCAGTGTAGGGTATGAGAAGTGGTGTCACAGATTTGGTGAGTGCTGCTTTAGCAGCAGCATCGGCCATTGTGTTACCAGTGATGCCAACATGGCTTGGTAACCAACAAAAGACGATGTCATATTGGCCAGTAGCAAGATCATTAAATAATTCGATAATTTGGATTAAAAGTGGATGTTTGGATGACATATTTTTAATTGCCTGAAGGCATGAAAGTGAATCAGAGAAAATAATGAATTGTGTATGTTTTGATTGATTACTGATATATTTTAGTGCTGTAAAAATGGCGTTTGCCTCTGCTGTGAATATGGAACTGCTATCAGGTAATCGTGAAGATAATGTTCTGGATCCAATGACGGTGGCACTAGCAACTGTGCCACCATCCTTGGATCCATCTGTAAATATAGATTTATAAGTGTCGTAAGTGTTTCTTAATTGATGGTATTCTTGTTGATAAATTAATTGGTTAGTAACTGATTTCTTTAATTTTGTTAAGGAAAGATCTACCTCTGGCCTTACCATTTGCCAAGGAGGTGATGTAAACAGTTGAAAGGGAGCTATATCTTGCAATTTAATATTTGCGGCAGACATGTTAGACTGGATTCTGATTCCAAGTGGTGGAACAACAGACGATTTTTTATTATAAATATCTTGGTAAAGAGGATTAAAGACGCAGTTAAAAGCTGGATTTGACTGATTAGAATATAATTTAGTGACATATTGTAACGATAATTTCAGACGGCGTTGTTTAAGAGAAGGTTCATCCGCTTCTACATACAGACTGTGAATTGGTGACGTCCTAAAGGCTCCAAGGCAAAGCCTTAGGCCCTGATGATGGATAGTATCGAGTTTCTTTAAGTTACTTTTGCAGGCTCCACCGTAGACGATGGAGCCATAATCGAGTTTTGAACGGATCAATGACCTATACAAGTGTAGGAGGGTTGTTTGATCACCTCCCCACTTAGAATTAGACACTACTTTTAACAAATCGAGTGCCTTCAGGCATTTAGCTTTAAGGTAATTAATATGCGGAAGGAAAGTTAAATGACTATCAAAAATAAGGCCCAAGAACTTGGCCTCTTTAACAATTTTGATAGGGGTGCCATCTAAATAGAGCTCAGGGTCCTTATGCGGCTTATATTTTCTGCAGAAATGTATACAATTAGTTTTTGATTTCGAAAATTTAAACCCGTTTTGGAGGGACCATTTATGTATTTTATTGAGACAGATTTGTAACTGCCTCTCTATTGTATGCATATTTTTTCCTCGACAAGAAACATTAAAATCATCCACGAAAAGTGATCCATCTACTGAATCACTTAAAACCTTTGAAAGACTATTTATTTTTATACTAAATAAAGTGACAGACAAAATACTGCCTTGTGGGACACCCTGATCCTGATGATAATGATCAGACAGGGTAGAGCCCACGCGGATCTGAAATTGTCTGCCAGTTAAAAACTTGGATATAAATTCAGGCAAACGGCCTCTCAATCCAAAATCATGTAAATCCTTTAAAATCCCGTGTTTCCACGTTGTGTCATACGCTTTTTCTAAATCGAAAAAGATAGACACTGCATGCTGGTTATTAATGATTGCATTTTTCACAAATGATTCTAACCGTACTAAATGGTCAACGGTACTTCGATTCTTTCGAAAGCCACACTGAATATTTGTAATTAAATTATTTGATTCCAAGTACCATGTTAATCTATTGTTGACCATGCGTTCCATGGTTTTGCAAACGCAACTGGTCAATGAAATGGGTCTATAATTTGAGGGATCACTGTGATCCCGTCCAGGTTTCGGTATGGGTATTACTATGGCATCACGCCAGGAAGAAGGAAACTTACCTGTTGTCCATATTTCATCAAAAATCAACAAAAGGGTTTCTAAACACGGTTCTGGTAAGTGCTTCAGGAGTTGATAGTGTACATTATCAGCTCCTGTAGCAGTATCATGAGATTGTCCAAGAGCAGTATGAAGTTCATGGATCGAAAATATTTCATTGTAATCTTCCCCATTATCTGATTTAAAATTTATAGTTTTCTTTTCCTGCTGTTTTTGAAATTTTTGGAATTGAGGGACATAATTTGAGGAAGAAGAATGTTTAGCTAACGTTTCACCTAGTTTATTTGCAATATCCGATTTATTTGTTAATAGTTCATCCCCATTCTTAAGATGGTGGACGCTACATTTAGAACCCTTACCTTTAATTTTTTGTATCATGTTCCATACCTTGGACATGGGCGTTCGTGAGTTTATCTTGGAAACATAATGTTGCCAAGAATGCCGTTTATTTTGTTTAAACGTACGCCTGGCTTTAGCATTTAAGATTTTATATTTATTCAAATTATGGACCATAGGATGGCGACGGAAATAGTGTTCAGCCTTTTTCCGTGCCTTCCTAGCTTGTTTGCAGTCATTATTGAACCATGGTTTACGGATATGTGGATTTGTAGAGGACTTAGGAATACATTCATCTGCTATTTTGTTTAATTCATCTGAAAATAATTGTACAGGATCATTCGCATCAATAAATAGATCAGGTTTTAAATTGTTGGATGCAAGCATTTCAAATAAAGGCCAGTTGGCCTTAGTGAAGTTCCATCTTGTTGAAGGAGGAACATCTGAAGGTAAGACAGATTTTAAAATAGTTGGAAAATGATCACTGCCACAGAGGTCTTCGTGGACGGACCATTCAAATTCGTTTAATAAATCAGAGTGAGTGAGTGATAAATCCAGTGCAGAGTAGGTACCTGTACCGGGATGTAGATAAGTGTTTGAGCCATCGTTATAGATACATAAGTCATTGTTAGAAATAAAATCTTCCAAAAGTTTCCCCTTATTATTTGTCTGAACACTTCCCCAAATCGGATTGTGCCCATTTAGATCACCCATAATGATACAGGGTTTTGGGAGTTGATCATAGAGAGCTTGAAGTTCAGACTGTCGGAGAGAAGAAGATGGTGGGATATATAGCGAGCACAATGTAAAAACAATGTGCAAAGTCACACGGATTGCAACAGCTTGAAGCGGAGTAGTAAGTTGAACGGGGCTATGGATGACGCCGTGTTTCATTAGAATTGAAGAACCTCCAGTGGCTTTAGCACCAGGAGGGGAAAATACATTGTAGGGGGTATAACCTCTAATATCAAATTTGTCAGTATCCTTATAATATGTTTCCTGTAAACATATGGCAGATGGCTTAAAATCCTGTATTAAGAGTTGTAACTCATTGTAATTATTCCTAAGTCCTCTACAGTTCCATTGAATTAAATTTGATGAGTGACTCATGGTGGCTCGATTGGCGATCTCTCACGTGATCGTGAGGAAGATGAACTCCTATCACTAGTGCCTAACCATGGAGTCACCTCCATGTCTAGAGCACTAAAGGAGTTCTGAAGAGACACTTCCGAAGAAGAGAGGGTGCTAGGTGATTGTTTCCTATTTAACCTTTGCCTTTGCTTTTTGGATAATTTACGCTCCTGAACAGATGGCTCGTCAGGAGATGCCTCAGATGAAGTCTGTGTTTCAGCCTGAACACAACACGGTGATGATGCGGATTTACTGTCAGAGATTGGAATGTCACGGACAGAAGCACTTGTAACAGGTCGGTCAGAATTGACCCATGTCAAATCGGTTTGACACAGAACAGATGAAAATGTTTTTGCAGATTTGGACACAGCAGCAGAATAATTTAGAGTTGAAGGAGCTGTTGACTGACTGGCAACAAGCTCTCTAGCATCGGCAAAAGAGATGTTTTTTTCACATTTAAGTTTCAGTATTTTGGTCTCGGTTTGATACACAGGACAGGATTTGGAAGAGGCCATATGTTGGCCTTCGCAGTTTGAACATTTGAGATCTTCAGTACACTCCGCACTCTCGTGTTTGCCACCACAACGATGGCAAACAACGGGGCGTCTACAGGTTTTCGAACCGTGACCAAACTTTTGACATTTATAGCATTGGAGTGGATTGGGGACATACACATCCACTCCGATGTTGACATAACCTGCTTTAATTGAAGTTGGAACTGATGGACAAGCAAACGTGAACAAATATGTGTTCGTTAGGACAATATTTGATTTTTCATCCTTTCGGGTGAAACGTTTGACGGCTTGTACTCCTTGATATTTGAGTTCTGAAACAATTTCATCTTCCGTCATGTCTGAAAGGGAGCGTGTCCTGTCGCGAACAATGCCACGACAAGAGTTCAATGTCCTATGCTTTGAAACAGTAACCTCAACATTAGCAAAGTGTTTAATTGATAATAAATTGAGGGATTGTTGTTTCCACGAACATTCCACCAGAAGAGATCCAGTACGCAATCGTGTGACATTTTTAACTTCTCCACAATATCCATGAATGGCTTTGGATATAGCAAAGGGATTCAGCTTTAGCGGTTCATGATCTGTGGCTTCGATCACAAGGAATCGAGCCCAGGGATCAGGTGGAAGAGTATCAGCGTCATCGGACGAACTTGAGTCTAAATGGCGTCGTTTTGAACCAGATTGTGAGTGAGCCATGATTATGTTGAAGTGATTCAGCAACCCTGCTCCCCACCCACCATGGAGTATCATAATAGACTGTGTTGCAATGCACCGGATCTCCAAGATGCAAACACCAGGGCTACAGGGTTGTTATACTCCAGAAAATATGACACAAACAGCAATATCTGTATACCAAAATAAGTGCCAGGCTGGTTCTGCCCATGACAAGAAATTGGATACATATTGAGTTTGGAGGTCAACATTACCAGATTGGCCCATGAGCCACCGCCTTCTGGCATGGGACTCTAGGCAAAAGTGTACATATAATTTCCAATGAGAACATTCATTTACAGGTGTCAGAAATACAAAACATGAATGACATCAATGTTTTCCATACACAGGGCATGGCATGACCAGCCGATTGATAGAACCGGGCCCATTCTACCACCCGTCTAGGTGAAGTTAGGGTCAAAGTGGTGTGTTGGGCAAAGGAACACAGTTCCAGGAACCAGTGCCCTCAACCACCAGACTCCCTTCCTCCACCGACACAGGGGCGCAACCCACGGCAAACAGGTTGCCCAATTCGGTCGCCTCATACGACCAGCAATGGGGTGCTGTGGAAATATTCTACCCCGGTTCCACACGGGGGAAGAGCGATTAGCGTTACCCAGCACTCACCACGAGGAGGTTGCTCTTCACGAGTGCCTTGTAATTTTGAACAGAAATTGAAGAGGATACGAGTGACCCATTTGTTTAGGTCGCCGCAGCTTTGCAGCTTAAAATGAAATACGAATCAAATCGGGAATTTTTACCTGTAGGTGTTCACGATATAAACCAGAATCTGTAACGCCAACACTGTAGTCACTGTCAATGAGGTCATTGATGCTGGACAACTTAGACGTCTCAACACCCGCAGTTAAAGCAGCCATCAGATTTCCGCAAAATGCAAAGGAGATGATAATAACCAAAATCCAGTACGACGAGAGAAGAATTTTCCCTGCATTTGATTTTGGTTCCGTTTGAAATCCTGACAATACGTTAATATTATATAGAAGACGAATAAGGTTCAAAAGTCAAAATCGTGCTTGCAATAACTAATTATTAATGAAACACATATGAATGTGAGTAAACTAGTACATTGGCTTGTATTTTGTGATTAGGGAGATCGTTTGTCTGCTCCCAGATTAAATAGGTTTGGCTTTTGCGTGACTGCACATGAGTAATATAATATTATGGCGAAAAAGTAAATAAGCCAAACATATTTGTGTCCCAGTTAATAGACATTATTTTATTCAGCTTATATTTTATCAATTTTGAAAATATATGCTTTTTCATGTATATGTAAAAAATTGTTTTATCACATATACTGTTCTTGAATATGTGATAAAGCATTTATTTTTAAAGCTATAATGATGTTTTGTTAAAACATGTACGATAATGTCAAAGACAAACTACTAGAAGATGTAACAATTTGAAAGATCTACACTAACCTTGCCTAAATGCAGATCCAATGAATTCCCAGATCATACTATACAGTTGTTGAAGAACTGATATTCCCTCACAAATATGCGGAATTTCTACTATAATGAACATAACTAACACTCCAGTTAGTACTCCAAGAAATATAAGGTAGACGCCCGGTTGTAGTGAATTGACTACAAGGAAGAGAGACCTTGATGGGGCAGTCTTTTTTCTGTATATGACGTCCGATCCTTCGACATTAATGGCGGGATAGACATAGTCCATTACCTTTGCCCTTCCATAGTGAACAGTTAAGTCAGCGGCTGCAAGATCTACTTCCTGAATGTAAAAGCAATGGTTAATAACAATTTGAGATTTTAAAAATGGTTGTATTCACAAAGCAGTAATCACCAAAATGCTAAAGGGTGTGCCCTATGATGTCTTGCTTTCTTTAAATGTCTCATTATAGATTAATCTATCGGTGATTCCAACATGAACAATTTGGTGCAATGGATTGAGGTAGGCTTGAACAAACATAAATAGACATACACAAATGTATCTCTGCAGAAAAGCAATACCCCAGTTTAGCAACGTTCACGTTCATGATAATTAATTTTAGTACTGAGGGCATTTTAAAAACATTCGAAACAAAAAGTTAAGTTACCCATCAGAGTCCAAATAATGCCTTCTAAAAAGTAAAATTGAAATGACAAAGTGATATGACGAAGAAGTCTACCATAAATCGATATTGATGGTCATCTGACAGCTCGAGCCGTAGTGTGTGCTGCACAATGAACGTGGTGATCAAAGAGAGGCACGCTCAAAATTCAACTTTCTCCAGGTGAATTAATACAGATCATATCTTCATCAATACATATTGTTTGATGCACAATATAGTCCCATGACTCGCCGAAGAGAATCTGTAGGTAAGAGACGGACCATGATACACACTGAGATGGCTTACAGGGCCATAGGAAGCCGATTAGGGTATCACCATACTGTTATCAGTTGCTTAGCAGCAAAACATGCTCACAACAATTGTGTGCAGGATCGACCGTAATCAGGAAGTTCCAGAGTAACATCAGTAAGAGAACACAAGGCATTGCTCAGACAAGAATGGCGTGTTCCCTTAGAAATCAGTGGACAACCCTCAGATACATGTAGCTATGTGTAGGAGCGGTAAGGAACCGTCTCAAGGTGGCAAGTTTTTATGCTCGTAGATAAGAAAAACCGCCATTATTAACTGATCAGCACATCAAAGGACATCCTCAGTGGTGTACAGCACGGAGACATTGGAATCTGGCTTCCTGGCGCAAAGTTCATTTTCCGGACGTGTGAAGGGTGTTACTGCATGTTGTGTATTGACGGATCTAAGTTTGGAGACATAAAAAACTTGAGTAGTATAGGTAATGGGGGTTCTGCCGCAACTCCACTGGAGCCAGATTTATATACCTATACTGCTACTACAGGGGGAATTTTTTATGCCAAAATGATGATGCGATTCAACGATAGTCATGAGTTGTATTCAACGAAACATCAATATTAATTAATAATGGATAAAATTTACTTTGGCCACGAGGATATTGGAAAGGTGTAAGAGCAATAAAAAAATTAGCCACCGCGGCTAAGGTATCTAAAGATGTGGCCAAGGATTGGTTAAAGAAACAAGCGATGTGGCAAATATATTTACTGGCACCGCGTTATATACCGAGGAAGAAGTTTGATATTTTTACAACGAATGAAGTTCATCAGGCTGACCTCTTGTTTCTTCCCCACGATAAGGTAAAACGCAAAACGTATAGATACGCTTTAACAGTAGTGGATGTGGCTAGTCGCTAAACGCGGACCGCTAAAATGGCCTAAGCTATTTCAAGTAGATCCCGGTCACGAGTTTATGGGATCGATAACAAAACTGTTAACAAAGCACAATGTCGAAATCGTCCTTGGTGAAAGAGAGGCCCACCAAAGTCAAGCTATCGTCGAAAGATTTAACCGGACATTAGCGGAACGTTTGTTTGGCTATCAGTATGGGATCGAAATGAAATCGGAGCGATTGAGATCAACCGAATGGGTGACACGATTATCAGCCGTTGTATCAGCGCTGAATTATGAAGTAACGAGATTAATAGGGAAGAAACCATCCGATGCGATTAAAATGAAATCCGTGACTTCCGAATCTTCAGCACCGAGGAGAGGCAAAGAACGAAAACTTCCGGATAGAGTAAGGGTAAGATATTTATACCAGGCCGGTGAACACGAGGGAGGCCTACGTCGTGCAACCGATCCAATATGGTCTCTTAAGACATATAACATTAGTCGATTGGTTACGAAAGAAGCCTATTCTTTATTACCTTCAAGATGGACCGGGTAGGGCATTTGTACGAGAAGAGTTGTTCATAGTTCCCGACGGTACGGTATTACCACCATAACCATAAGCATAGGTAGTTACACCATCATTATCAATCCATCTCTTTGTATCTAAGGGGGATAATGATGTCTTGTTCATTCTTAATCCATATATCCTATGATTGTAACTTCTTAAAGAGTTCATCTCGTGTTTGAACGTTCTACCGTTGAATAATGATTCTTTATACTGTTCGTGTTTGATATGCTTTTTTACAACATACTTCTTAACGCCCTTAGCTTTTCTTATCTCTCCATTATCGGACTTCTTTATAGAATACATCTTAGGTCTTAATCCTACATACTCCGCTATAGGGGTCCCAGTACATTCATCCTTCATCTTACCTAACCCCTTTTTATTTACTACGCTGTGCAGTGGATTATCTTTTGGGTAATCGCTCGTGTCGAACATATCTATTTTTTCTGCCATATCTTTATACACATCCTCGGTTTGTATTTCCATCAACAAAGAATCTGTGTCGGTATATAAAACCTCGCATCTATCGTCGTATTGCTTCTTAAGTTCGTTGTAATAAAAGTCATACATTAAGTGTTTTGACAAGTCGAGAATACTCATACCGACGTAAACCGGTCTGTTGAATTTTATATTACTCTTCTGCATATGCAACACGGCTAAGTCGTTATCGAATATCTTGCTTCTGTTAAAAGCTGGACTGGCTATAAGTTTCCTGAGTCTTTCTTCCTCATTAGATCTGACTAATTAAACATCAACACGCTTCCTTAGATTCTCCATAGTTTACCAAATACTGAGTTATTCATGAGCTTATACAGATTCTTTTCGAAATCGCTGGTAGCTATCTTTCTTAAATCTGTGTTCAACCTTATATAGGGCTCCATCCAAGGGCTTCATCCAAGGGCTTTGATCGAACTTTAGAACTCTGTGTATTTTCTTAAGTTTCATACCTAACCATATAAATAACGGGAGATTTCTGTAGTGAACTGTATATTTTGTCTTATCCATCAAATTTGGTACGAGTTTTTCTATGTTAGCTAACCTACTATTACCCATCAAGGAGCGTTGATATTCCGACATCCAATCTTTATTAACCATTAATCTTTCGGGAGCTAGCGGATAACTGTTATGTTCTTTATGTAACGAACTTGGATATTCCAAGTCAACTTCTAGTATGTACCCTTTATTCGCATCGATA